ACAATTTCTATTTGTAAAAAGAATTCTTTTTAATCTTACGGAAAAAATTAAAATATTTTTCATTATAAAACATTTTAACATTTTGTATTTTAATTTTTTTAATTTTCTAATACACATTATAGAATAAGTTGCATATATAATCATATAAATGATATATGGTTATTTACATTATAAAGGACATCTGAATTTAATGGGAAATGGCGTTCTGTCGAATTGACTGGATTTTTTATATGTTTTAGTTTAAGCATTCTAATCAAAAATCTCAATGGGCACTCTTGAAAATACAGTTTCGGCACTATTGATCCTTAGAACATTTGTATGTATGCGACTGAGGATATAAGAAAGTTTCCTTACACTTAGAAATTATATTAAATGTGTATATATGTGTTAAAATACGTAAATTATTTATTATATTATTTTACATATGTATAATACATATAATTAATATATATATATATATATATATATATATATATATATATATATATGGTTATATCCTCGCTTCGTCGGTATTACGTTTGATGATATGCAACTTTTTATATTTTTACCTATATTATTTTGTATTTTTATCATTACTTTTTATGTGATTAAATGAATAAATTAAGCGAAATAGACGCTGCAATCTATAGTTACAATATATATATATAGAAGGGTGGAGAGTGTGCAGTCTGTGCGTGTACTTTGCAACGCAAACTGGAACTTCACATAGGTTTATAAAACTGTGGGCAACTTAATCATACCTTATGTGAATATTTAAATTACTTTTTTATATAACTGCTAAAACAGTAGATTTATGAAAAAAAATGCATACAACTTTTTTTGTAGAGTTTTTAAGCGGCTTTATTATTTGCTTAAAAATTTTTTTCTTAAATTAATATTTTTGGAGATAAAAAGCATTAAAGTTGTGAAATTTTTTTGTTAATAACTTTTTAACGAACAACGAGCGTCGGCTTAAACCTTTTGGATGTTACTCAGGGTAGTAATCTTGACAACATATGTCAAGGCAATCGAAGCGGCAATCGAAGCGGGCTCCCTTCATCGATACATTTACGCGATTTCCTTTATCTCTATTGAAATGAAGAATGATATGAGAAGATAAAAAATACAATTAAATGTTCGAATTAATTATTATTAATTAAAATAGAATAATAATAATTATTAAATTAAAATAGAATAATAATTATTATTAAGTTAAAATTGAAAATTTAAATCGTCAAGTGAATAGTTTATGCAAAATTAAGTAGATAAATATTAAATAAATGATTACTAACAATAAGATTTGTCTTTGATATCTGTCTCGGATATTTAGCGATTATATATTATTTATTTCTAAGTTATTTTAATTTTCCTTAAATGAAGAAATATAAAAAAATAGTAAAAAGTAATAAAGAAGAAAAATAAAATATAAAAATAGTAAAAAGAAAAGAAAGAAATTTTGATAAGAACATAATTCTCCGATAAGAAAAATATGATAAAAATTTATGAGAAATCTAGAGATATGAGGTTTGTTTACATTATCGAAAGGAAAAGGAAAAAACTGATACGTAATGTCAAATATTTGTAAAAAATTAAAATGTCTACTAATAATACACGATTAAATTTTTAAGATATAAATTTCTGATTAATAGCGCAACCATATGCAGCAAACAATAATTCTCGAAGAAGAGTGCATATTAAATCATATAGTATGTATCTGTGTTGTATAAAACTTAACATCAAAATATAATGGCTATACTGCTATGTTAAAAGATATAATTCTTTCTTTTATTGAGATATAGATGAAATAATATTACTGTCTATATTCTCCATTTAGTTTACATTCTCCGTTGGCTAATTATATAAAAAAAATATAATAAATTGAAAATTTACCTAAGGTTTTCCGTGAATCAAGGAGCGCTTTTCGAAAATAGGAATTTTAGGAATTTTTACACACACACAATTTTTATTTAATTCAAATTATTTACAGAAAGCTGGGCTTGATTTAATGGTACAGATTTTACTTCTTCTTTGAGACCGTAGGGCATGTATAATTGATGGTCAAAAAGCTGAAAAATTCCACTGAAATAACAAAGGTGTATACAAAGGTATATATATAAAGACGTTAGAACAAAGGTATAAAGCCATACAGAACAATAACGAGACAAATCGTCTAGAAATTTTTTTGAAAGAATTTGTCATTTTTAGTTAGAATTTGACCTATTGGCTACACAAAAGGCCACAGAAAAGATTTCTAAATTTAATGCTATTACACTTCTATCAATCATAAAATAGCATCGATATAGCGACAATCATATTTTTTATTAAAATAAGAATATTTTAATCTTAAATGGAAAATTCTTAAATCTAGAATGAAATGATCCTGATACTATCTACAAAAGATGACAGACGCTTATCGGTTTTGCGCAACTACTAACGATAATATCATTATTCTAAATGCAAGAATATATAGCTTAGATTTCTTTATATTATTCCTGTTCTCAGATTATAAAGGCAATCTTATTTAATTCGAGAAAGAAGAATAAGAATTATTATTTTAGATTTAAAATTGTTTCATTTTTATACTACACTAGACAACGCAAAGCGCGCACTTCGCGTGCGCCATTTATTTCCTTTCATTATACATTTCTCATTGTCACACAAGTCACTGTCAAAATTTGTAATAATCGCAAATGATAGCTGCTCAATATGAATTGAGCGCAATAAAAGAACCAAATCGAAGTTTATTGTTGTCGCTTTTCGGCATTGCGGACTAAATTTCGATATATTCGAGTAATCAACTTCACATGCATTTTTTAGAAATAGATAAGATTGGGATCGGATTAAATGTGTCAAGAATATTTTTGGTGTTGTTAAAAGAAATCCTTCTGAGAGAGGGGAGAGTTTCTTTGACCAATCAGAACAGATGGGTGCCCCCATCTGTTGTAATGGTCAAAGAAACTATCCCCCCCCCTCTGATGTGTCTTTTATAAATACTTTAGATCATTTCTAGACGAAATACAAGTTTAGTCACATCGCACAAGGTGCACGAACGCATTGCACAACACAATACTAGAAGCTACAGTAAATTTTGTGCGCTTACATTCGTGTGTGATTAGTTACATCAGCATATAATCAAAATTAATATAATCAAATATTAATCGAAATCATTAAATAATCGGTTGCGATCATTTTTTTTTCAATGGCTACAATAGTAGATTTGCCGGAAGAAGTGATCACTATGATATTGGAAAACAAAAATATCAACGTTGAGGATATATTGCGTTTGAAATCCACGTGTAATAAATTGCAAATAACATTCAGCGCGAAATTTTGGGGAAAAAAATTTCATCAAAGGTACTTTTTTTATTTAGTTTTTTTAAACTATATTTTTTTATTTAAGTTTTCTTTCATATGTGATTGATTTTTGTTGCTTAACAAAGCTTAATCTCCGCTAAAATAATAATGAAATATTAAAAGAATTATTGTGTTATTACCTTATTAATTTATATTGCATCTGTTGCTCAATGAATTCTTAAAAAAAGCTACGCTATTTAATAAAGACAGATTTGTTATATTTTGCGGTTCATTGTTATCGTAATAATATCATCTTTTCTAGATTTTGTTATTAAATTATTAGCATAAGAATTATCTTGTATTTATTATTGTTTTTACTAAATAGAAATATGTAGTTACTTTACATTATTCAATGTTATAAATATGTAATTATTTTACATAAATCGTTTTGAATTGTTTAAAATTATTAAAGATAAGAAATTGGAAAAATTATTGTTGATGTATAATAGAATTTTTATATTTAAAAATTATTTTAATTTTATAATTGCAAAAAATTTTATTTTATATAATAAAACATAATAAACAATTAGATTAAAGTTGTTGCGATTTTTCATATTTTATTTTAAAAATTTAGAATAATACGGTTATGTATAAGTGTATATTCATAATAGTTTATATTCTCAAATAAATATTTGTTTCATGATTTATATAATCTTATTTTTAGGTTTTATAAATAATTTTATCTTCTAATTTTATTATATAAATGTACTTTTTTCTCTAAGCTAAATAATTTTCTTTCGTACAAACCTTATATTTTCTACAATTTTATAAAACATTACATTTTCAATCAGTTAATATATAAACATATATATATATATATATATATATATATATATATATATATATACATATATATATATATATATATACATATAATTAAGAAAATTATGTGTTTTAGAAAGTACATTGATTATAATTTATTGTTGTTTAATATAATTTTTGAGAATTTTCTGTCTTAATTTTAGGTTTCCTTCTTCGAAAATAAATTATGAAAAGAAGACAAAGAAAATAAAAAATATTTTTAATTATGCAATAACTAGTGTAGAATATACTAAAAGGCTAGAGTACTATGTATCTCTAATATCTTCTAATAATTTATATGATAAAGCAGAAGAATTCGCTCATTTCCTCTGCTCCATATCGAAAAATTCCATGTTCTATTATTTTATCTTGGATGATATAAACAGAATTATTTCCATACCACGGTAGAATTTAATGAATTAAATTACTATTAACATTATAAATTAAAGTAATTATTATACAATAAATTTTTTTCAGGCACAATTTGGTAAAATATAATTTTGATCTAATTTTTTCTTGGATAAAACGATATCGTTTAATATATAAGCAAAATAAATTTACAAGTTTGCCAAAAAAAAAACTGCTTTTAGAAAGGCAAATTACTATTATACTAAAATATTTTCTACCACACGTGTCTTACTCAGACATTGATAATTGGCTAGATAATATTGTAAAAAAAATATTAAGCCTTCTTAAAGATAAATATTCTACGCATGCAATATTATCGATATCTTCTGAAAAATTTACTTTTTGGAGAAATAACAATATTGATGACAATTTCTGGAATCCAACAGAAGTAAAGCAAATTATACGTATCCTGGAAGAATACGTATTTTCTGAATTAGAAGTTTCCCAGAAATTACTTGAATTATTCATAACATTAGATGACGATTTAAAATATATAAATTATAATTATGTAAGTTATTTTACATTATATTAAATTGTAATAATACTTTGCTATGCGCTGTGGAAGCGTACCTATATGTTTTATATCTTAAAAATATTCAATATAATTTTTCTAATAAAATGGGATGATATAGATTTTAGAGCACTACCGACAATATATATTACCTATTATACATCACAGCGTAGCTAGAAGACTTGGTGTACGCTGCTTCATGGAAACTCAAAATTCTGGCTATATGTTGGAATATTTTGACGATTGTATTGATTATATTCTAGAAATTCAATGGAATCCAAACTCGTTAGTACAATTTAGCTTAAGAGCTTATCTATCTGATATTGTGTGTGTGTGTGTGTGTGTGTGTGTGTGTGTGTGTGTTTGTGTATATGTTTGTTCATATATTTCTATTGTTATTTTCAGTAATACAGCAGAAGGAAATGTACGGATGGAGTGTTTTTATATGAGAGAGGGATCCGATCTACAATACCCTGCAAACATTAACAAAACCAGACGTTTGGTTTATTGTAGCAAAGAGATACAGAATCCATTACGTGATATATCAGTAAGCAATCTTTTATATGTAATTTTTTAATTATTTTTAACAAGATATAGTTAATAAAAATAACAATCAATTATGAGTCTTCTAAACAATACGTTGATCAATTAGTCAATTTATTCTATAAGCGATAAATGGAAGATAACTTCGTTTTATTTTGAGTTCCTAGTTTGAAATTTTTTGTATATGTCTGTCTGTTTTTAAATACAACAGGAGATGATTAAAGCTTTCAAACTCGAACTAAAGAATGGCAACAATCGTTCCACTATATTTTACTCTGAGAAATTTAATCAAATAATATCTATCTTATTACAAAGTTTCTATGAGCTAAATATTGAAGCACGAACAAATAGAGAGTACAGAATCATTTCACGTTCAATAAAGGTAATGTATTACATATATTATTATATATATATATATATATATATATATATATATATATAATATACTTATATTTATAGGTATTGATTGTACTCACACACACTCGCACACATACATACACGCGTGCGGGCACCTTCAATTTTTTAAATAAAACCCTCTATTTTTTATTATTTATTCTTGTAGTTTACCTCGAGAGTTTTCCAAAACACTATAATAAAGTATTTCTTCATTGAGTCACTTTTCGAGTTATGAGGATTAAAATAATCTTGATTTTACATAAACCATAAAATATTTAGTAAAATTCATTTTTCGATTATCTTAATCTCAATATTTTTATGTTTAAAATAAGTAGAGAAATCAATTTGTATAAGAAACACACAATTATTTTTAAGAAAAAACATGTAATTTGCAATTGACAGTTACATAAAAGTATTGAGATAAGATAATCGAAAAATGAATATTTTACGAGATATTTTATAGTTTATGTAAAATTAAGAAACTGTACCTTAAGCCTCATTACTCGAAAAGAACTCAATGAAAAAATATTTTATTATAATGTTTTAAAAAGATCTCGAGATAAGCAACATAAAAGTGTAATCGAAAATGGGGGTTTCTATTTAAGAAATTAAAGGTAATCTTTATGTAATCTTCAAAAGATTATCCAAGATCAAACCAATAGAACCTTCTTATGTCCTCCTTCGAGTCAAATAACTTTTGTCTGAAACATTTCTTGCTATAATGTGTACTTTCAGAGATAGCTTGTAACACTTTAAATGCCTCCCTCCTCCTGTATATATATGTATGTGTGTATGTGTGTGTGTGTAAAATAAAAATAAAATTAATTATCTACATAATTTAAAACATTACAATAATTACTTGACAACATATTACTTAAATCTTGTTATTATACTTGTTATTATATTTGTATACATACAGAATATAACAAAAATCCGAAAGGAACAAATACAACCAAAAAGAAGATGTAAAAAAATTAAATTTACAATTGGTATGATCGTAAATATTCATACATGTTTAGCGAAACAGTTGGCTGTTTTGCACAGCGAAATTAATTGTCATACTGGCGTGATAATTGGTTGGCATTATATCTGCAAATCTTACTTTGTAAAAAAAGATATGGATTTTTTAGTCCCATATTTGACTGAATGCAAAAATCCTGATCTTGTGTTTTTAGACGACAATTTGTTTTGTATATGTAGATGTGAAAAGAGCAAGATAGACAATAATATTCAATTTAAACCGCATTATATAATTCTCGCCGAAAATAATAAATTATGTTATTTGCCACAAGGTACAAAAATATTAGTATTAGTAACATTTTAAATTATATATCTTCTATGAGTTTTAATCCACGTAATAAAATATATCTTTTTTTTATTTCAGATACTCTATCAATATGTCCACCTAAATGCATCGATAATTTTGAAATAGGGCGATATTTTTCTAAATTTGAAGGTACTCATTACGTACCAAATGAAAACCTGGCAAAAGAATATCCAAAGGATACTGCTGCTATTCATGATATACTTCCCAGTATCTCTCAGCAATGTGCATAATAAATTTTATAATTTGCATAACATAAATATATTAAAATTATATAGAAATAATATTTTAGTTTTTCTGTACGAACATTTTGTATATTCTATACATTGTAAGATTAAAAATACAATATTAACATCATATTATAAAAAGTAAAGTATATTGAGAATATATATAGAATTGTGTGTCGAAATTATACCAATAAATGCTCATAATCCATTACAACTATTCAAACTTTTTTATTAGTGAATTGGCTTGAGTTTCCATATGAGTTTCTACAACATGGAGTAATTCAATTAAATTCTCGTCATGTGCAACGTATTACATTATTTTATAAATTCTGTGGATCTTATGCTATATATCACATTAAATTAATTATGCGTATTTTACGCATCTTGTAAATTTTCATCTGGCCGCTTAAATATAAGTTAAATGAAACGTAAAGTATCGTTATTAACATCATTAATAGAGGTGTAATATATAAAGATAAAGAATATTTTGCTCAAATGTAAATGATTAATTATTGTTTACATTTATAAATATTAAAAATTTGCTTTTATAAATTATCAAGCAACGCGGTAGCGTCGCGACGCCAAGTACGTAAAAATAAATAAAAATAAAAAACAGGATCCAAGCATTTTGTTTTTTAGAAAAATGTTGTTCTGAGGGAAAATTATTGTAAATTATTTAGAAGGACTTTTTTCATTAAACATTAGATCTTCGTTACAATTTTTGCGCTGAAGATGACTTAAAAGTAAGTCGAAACGTCCGCACACTTCTTTAACATTTTTATATATTATAACTATTTTGTATAAAGCTTGTAATTATGATTTATTAATATATATTTGGATTAACTTATCTACATTATTGATTCTTTAGCTCTCTACGCCTGACTGATCACTTTAATTTTGAATTAAACATTTTGTTGCATACAAGATAGAGTATTTTTTATGTACTTGACGTATTTTTTTTACCTTTGTAAAGTTTTTTTTAAAGGGATTTCACACTTTTCTGTATAATTTTATATCCTTTCTGCAAATTATTTTTTGGGGAAAAATATTTGTAAATTATGTTTAGAAATAATTTTTTATTTTTGAATATTGTTACTATAATAATAGACGGATATCGGAGACGAATCTTATTATTAGTATTCATTTATTTAATATTTATCAATTTAATTTTGCATAAACTATTCTCTTTACGATTTAAATTTTCAATTTTAACTTAATAATAATTAATTCGAACATTTAATTGTATTTTTTATCTTCTCATTTTTCATTTCAATAGAGATAAAGGAAACCGATTTGATCTCTTTTAAATACGAATATACATTATTTATTTACAGATTTTGAAAGATTTTATTTTATTTACTTTATCCTATTAATTTTATATTATAATAATTAATCATATTATAATATAATCAGAACTTATTTTTAACGTAAGAAAATTCCTTTTATTGTTCGGACTAGTGATTTGTAAATTTTTGTCCAGACAATAATACACATTTACATGGATTTATAAATCCCAGCTTTTATCTTCGTAATTTCTCTACCTGATTTTCGAAAATCATTAAAAAATTTTTTCCATTGACCTATTCTTCTCCAGGTCTTATTAAGAATCCAGGACATTCTAAGAGAATATAAAGTATAAACGTACAATAAACTTTTTATACCTGCGATTAAAACGATTATTTTAAAGCTTTTACAAACTTTGTTAGTTTTTACTGATCCTTTTTCCACATATTTTCGTTTTCAGTATCTCTCTTGTTTTCTCCTAAGAAACTTTTTAAAATTTATCAGACACGTTAAAATTTTATATTTATAGGACTTTTCCTCCATATAACTAACAATTTCTATTTATAAAAAGAATTCTTTTTAATATTACGGAAAAAATTAAAATATTTTTCATTATAAAACATTTTAACATTTTGTATTTTAATTTTTTTAATTTTCTAATACACATTATAGAATAAGTTGCATATATAATCATATAAATGATATATGGTTATTTACATTATAAAGGACATCTGAATTTAATGGGAAATGGCGTTCTGTCGAATTGACTGGATTTTTTATATGTTTTAGTTTAAGCATTCTAATCAAAAATCTCAATGGGCACTCTTGAAAATACAGTTTCGGCACTATTGATCCTTAGAACATTCGTATGTATGCGACTGATGATATAAGAAAGGTTTCCTTACACTTAGAAATTATATTAAATGTGTATATATGTGTTAAAATACGTAAATTATTTATTATATTATTTAACATATGTATAATACATATTATTAATATATATATATATATATATATATATGTATATATATATATATATATATGGTTATATCCTCCCTTCGTCGGTATTACGTTTGATGATATGCAACTTTTTACCTATATTACCTATATTATTACCTATATTTATACCTATATTATTACCTATATTTATACCTATATTATTACCTATATTTATACCTATAATATTATTACCTATATTTATACCTATATTTTTACCTATATTATTTTGTATTTCTATCATTACTTTTTATGTGATTAAATGAATAAATTAAGCGAAATAGACGCTGCAATCTATAGTTACAATATATATATATAGAAGGGTGGAGAGTGTGCAGTCTGTGCGTGTACTTTGCAACGCAAACTGGAACTTCACATAGGTTTATAAAACTGTGGGCAACTTAATCATACCTTATGTGAATATTTAAATTACTTTTTTATATAACTGCTAAAACAGTAGATTTATGAAAAAAAATGCATACAACTTTTTTTGTAGAGTTTTTAAGCGGCTTTATTATTTGCTTAAAAATTTTTTTCTTAAATTAATATTTTTGGAGATAAAAAGCATTAAAGTTGTGAAATTTTTTTGTTAATAACTTTTTAACGAACAAATATAAATAATAACGAACAAATATAAATAATAACGTAATAAATTTTAACGAGCGTCGGCTTAAACCTTTTGGATGTTACTCAGGGTAGTAATCTTGACAACATATGTCAAGGCAATCGAAGCGGCAATCGAAGCGGGCTCCCTTCATCGATACATTTACGCGATTTCCTTTATCTCTATTGAAATGAAGAATGATATGAGAAGATAAAAAATACAATTAAATGTTCGAATTAATTATTATTAATTAAAATAGAATAATAATAATTATTAAATTAAAATAGAATAATAATTATTATTAAGTTAAAATTGAAAATTTAAATCGTCAAGTGAATAGTTTATGCAAAATTAAGTAGATAAATATTAAATAAATGATTACTAACAATAAGATTTGTCTTTGATATCTGTCTCGGATATTTAGCGATTATATATTATTTATTTCTAAGTTATTTTAATTTTCCTTAAATGAAGAAATATAAAAAAATAGTAAAAAGTAATAAAGAAGAAAAATAAAATATAAAAATAGTAAAAAGAAAAGAAAGAAATTTTGATAAGAACATAATTCTCCGATAAGAAAAATATGATAAAAATTTATGAGAAATCTAGAGATATGAGGTTTGTTTACATTATCGAAAGGAAAAGGAAAAAACTGATACGTAATGTCAAATATTTGTAAAAATTAAAATGTCTACTAATAATACACGATTAAATTTTTAAGATATAAATTTCTGATTAATAGCGCAACCATATGCAGCAAACAATAATTCTCGAAGAAGATTGCATATTAAATCATATAGTATGTATCTGTGTTGTATAAAACTTAACATCAAAATATAATGGCTATACTGCTATGTTAAAAGATATAATTCTTTCTTTTATTGAGATATAGATGAAATAATATTACTGTCTATATTCTCCATTTAGTTTACATTCTCCGTTGGCTAATTATATAAAAAAATATAATAAATTGAAAATTTACCTAAGGTTTTCCGTGAATCAAGGAGCGCTTTTCGAAAATAGGAATTTTAGGAATTTTTACACACACACAATTTTTATTTAATTCAAATTATTTACAGAAAGCTGGGCTTGATTTAATGGTACAGATTTTACTTCTTCTTTGAGACCGTAGGGCATGTATAATTGATGGTCAAAAAGCTGAAAAATTCCACTGAAATAACAAAGGTGTATACAAAGGTATATATATAAAGACGTTAGAACAAAGGTATAAAGCCATACAGAACAATAACGAGACAAATCGTCTAGAAATTTTTTTGAAAGAATTTGTCATTTTTAGTTAGAATTTGACCTATTGGCTACACAAAAGGCCACAGAAAAGATTTCTAAATTTAATGCTATTACACTTCTATCAATCATAAAATAGCATCGATATAGCGACAATCATATTTTTTATTAAAATAAGAATATTTTAATCTTAAATGGAAAATTCTTAAATCTAGAATGAAATGATCCTGATACTATCTACAAAAGATGACAGACGCTTATCGGTTTTGCGCAACTACTAACGATAATATCATTATTCTAAATGCAAGAATATATAGCTTAGATTTCTTTATATTATTCCTGTTCTCAGATTATAAAGGCAATCTTATTTAATTCGAGAAAGAAGAATAAGAATTATTATTTTAGATTTAAAATTGTTTCATTTTTATACTACACTAGACAACGCAAAGCGCGCACTTCGCGTGCGCCATTTATTTCCTTTCATTATACATTTCTCATTGTCACACAAGTCACTGTCAAAATTTGTAATAATCGCAAATGATAGCTGCTCAATATGAATTGAGCGCAATAAAAGAACCAAATCGAAGTTTATTGTTGTCGCTTTTCGGCATTGCGGACTAAATTTCGATATATTCGAGTAATCAACTTCACATGCATTTTTTAGAAATAGATAAGATTGGGATCGGATTAAATGTGTCATTTTTGGTGTTGTTAAAAGAAATCTTTCTGAGAGAGGGGAGAGTTTCTTTGACCAATCAGAACAGATGGGTGCCCCCATCTGTTGTAATGGTCAAAGAAACTATCCCTCCCTCTGATGTGTCTTTTATAAATACTTTAGATCATTTCTAGACGAAATACAAGTTTAGTCACATCGCACAAGGTGCACGAACGCATTGCACAACACAATACTAGAAGCTACAGTAAATTTTGTGCGCTTACATTTGTGTGTGATTAGTTACATCAGCATATAATCAAAATTAATATAATCAAATATTAATCGAAATCATTAAATAATCGGTTGCGATCATTTTTTTTCAATGGCTACAATAATAGATTTGCCGGAAGAAGTGATCACTATAATATTGGAAAACAAAAATATCAATGTTGAGAATATATTGAGTTTGAAATCCACGTGTAATAAATTGCAGCAAATAACATTCAGCGCGAAATTTTGGAGAAAAAAATGTCTTCAAAGGTATCTTTTTTATTTAGTTTTTTTGAAATATATTTTTTATTTAAGTTTTCTTTCATATGTGATTGATTTTTGTTGCTTAACAAAACTTAATCTCTGCTAAAATAATAATGAAATATTAAAAGAATTATTGTGTTATTACCTTATTAATTTATATTTCATCTGTTACTCAATGAATTCTTAAAAAAAGCTACGCTATTTAATAAAGACAGATTTGTTATATTTTGTGGTTCATTGTTATCGTAATAATATCATCTTTTCTAGATTTTGTTATTAAATTATTAGCATAAGAATTATCTTGTATTTATTATTGTTTTTACTAAATAGAAATATGTAGTTACTTTACATTATTCAATGTTAGAAATATGTAATTATTTTACATAAATCGTTTTGAATTGTTTAAAATTATTAAAGATGAGAAATTGGAAAAATTATTGTTGATGTATAATAGAATTTTTATGTTTAAAAATTATTTTAATTTTATAATTGCAAAAAATTTTATTTTATATAATAAAACATAATAAACAATTAGATTAAAGTTGTTGCGATTTTTCATATTTTATTTTAAAAATTTAGAATAATACGGTTATGTATAAGTGTATATTCATAATAGTTTATATTCTCAAATAAATATTTGTTTCATGATTTATATAATCTTATTTTTAGTTTTTATAAATAATTTTATCTTCTAATTTTATTATATAAACGTACTTTTTTCTCTAAGCTAAATAATTTTCTTTCGTACAAACCTTATATTTTCTACAATTTTATAAAACATTACATTTTCAATCAGTTAATATATAAACATATATATATATATATATATATATATATATACATATATATATATATATATATACATATAATTAAGAAAATTATGTGTTTTAGAAAGTACATTGATTATAATTTATTGTTGTTTAATATAATTTTTGAGAATTTTCTGTCTTAATTTTAGGTTTCCTTCTTCGAAAATAAATTATGAAAAGAAGACAAAGAAAATAAAAAATATTTTTAATTATGCAATAACTAGTGTAGAATATACTAAAAGGCTAGAGTACTATGTATCTCTAATATCTTCTAATAATTTATATGATAAAGCAGAAGAATTCGCTCATTTCCTCTGCTCCATATCGAAAAATTCCATGTTCTATTATTTTATCTTGGATGATATAAACAGAATTATTTCCATACCACGGTAGAATTTAATGAATTAAATTACTATTAACATTATAAATTAAAGTAATTATTATACAATAAATTTTTTTCAGGCACAATTTGGCAAAATATAATTTTGATCTAATTTTTTCTTGGATAAAACGATATCGTTTAATATATAAGCAAAATAAATTTACAAGTTTGCCAAAAAAAAAACTGCTTTTAGAAAGGCAAATTACTATTATACTAAAATATTTTCTACCACACGTGTCTTACTCAGACATTGATAATTGGCTAGATAATATTGTAAAAAAAATATTAAGCCTTCTTAAAGATAAATATTCTACGCATGCAATATTATCGATATCTTCTGAAAAATTTACTTTTTGGAGAAATAACAATATTGATGACAATTTCTGGAATCCAACAGAAGCAAAGCAAATTATACGTATCCTGGAAGAATACGTATTTTCTGAATTAGAAGTTTCCCAGAAATTACTTGAATTATTCATAACATTAGATGACGATTTAAAATATATAAATTATAATTATGTAAGTTATTTTACATTATATTAAATTGTAATAATACTTTGCTATGCGCTGTGGAAGCGTACCTATATGTTTTATATCTTATAAATATTCAATATAATTTTTCTAATAAAATGGGATGATATAGATTTTAGAGCACTACCGACAATATATATTACCTATTATACATCACAGCGTAGCTAGAAGACTTGGTGTACGCTGCTTCATGAAAACTCAAAATTCTGATGGCTATATGTTGGAATATTTTGACGATTGTATTGATTATATTCTAGAAATTCAATGGAATCCAAACTCGTTAGTACAATTTAGCTTAAGAGCTTATCTATCTGATATTGTGTGTGTGTGTGTGTGTGTGTGTGTGTTTGTGTATATGTTTGTTCATATATTTCTATTGTTATTTTCAGTAATACAGCAGAAGGAATGTACGGATGGAGTGTTTTCATATGAGAAAGGGACCTGATCTACAATACCCTGCAAACATTAACAGAATCAGACGTTTTTTCATTATGCGGAAAGATACAGGATCCATTACATGATATATCAGTAAACAACTTTTATATGTAATTTTTTAATTATTTTTAACAAGATATAGTTAATAAAAATAACAATCAATTATGAGTCTTCTAAACAATACGTTGATCAATTAGTCAATTTATTCTATAAGCGATAAATGGAAGATAACTTCGTTTTATTTTGAGTTCCTAGTTTGAAATTTTTTGTATATGTCTGTCTGTTTTTAAATACAACAGGAGATGATTAAGCTTTCAAACTCAAACTAAGAATGGCAACAATCGTTCCACTATATTTACTCTGAGAAATTTAATCAAATAATATCTATCTTATTACAAAGTTTCTATGAGCTAAATATTGAAGAACGAACAAATAAAGAGTACAGAATCATTTCACGTTCAATAAAGGTAATGTATTACATATATTATTATATTATATATATATATATATATATATATATAATATACTTATATTTATAGGTATTGATTGTACTCACACACACTCGCACACATACATACACGCGTGCGGGCACCTTCAATTTTTTAAATAAAACCCTCTATTTTTTATTATTTATTCTTGTAGTTTACCTCGAGAGTTTTCCAAAAACACTATAATAAGTATTTCTTCATTGAGTCACTTTTCGAGTTATGAGGATTAAAATAATCTTGATTTTACATAAACCATAAAATATTTAGTAAAATTCATTTTTCGATTATCTTAATCTCAATATTTTTATGTTTAAAATAAGTAGAGAAATCAATTTGTATAAGAAACACACAATTATTTTTAAGAAAAAACATGTAATTTGCAATTGACAGTTACATAAAAGTATTGAGATAAGATAATCGAAAAATGAATATTTTACGAGATATTTTATAGTTTATGTAAAATTAAGAAACTGTACCTTAAGCCTCATTACTCGAAAAGAACTCAATGAAAAAAATATTTTATTATAATGTTTTAAAAAGATCTCGAGATAAGCAACATAAAAGTGTAATCGAAAATGGGGGTTTCTATTTAAGAAATTAAAGGTAATCTTTATGTAATCTTCAAAAGATTATCCAAGATCAAACCAATAGAACCTTCTTATGTCCTCCTTCGAGTCAAATAACTTTTGTCTGAAACATTTCTTGCTATAATGTGTACTTTCAGAGATAGCTTGTAACACTTTAAATGCCTCCCTCCTCCTGTATATATATGTATGTGTGTGTGTGTGTGTGTAAAATAAAAATAAAATTAATTATCTACATAATTTAAAACATTACAATAATTACTTGACAACATATTACTTAAATCTTGTTATTATACTTGTTATTATATTTGTATACATACAGAATATAACAGAAATCCGAAAGGAACAAATACAACCAAAAGAAGATGTAAAAAAATTAAATTTACAATTGGTATGATCGTAAATATTCATACATGTTTAGCGAAACAGTTGGCTGTTTTGCACAGCGAAATTAATTGTCATACTGGCGTGATAATTGGTTGGCATTATATCTGCAAATCTAACTTTGTAAAAAAAGATATGGATTTTTTAGTCCCACATTTGACTGAATGCAAAGATCCTGATCTTGCGTTTTTAGACGACGATTTGTTTTGTATATGTAGATGTGAAAAGAGCAAAGATACGCACTAATATTCATTCTAAACCGCATTATATAATTCTCGCCGAAAATAATAAATTATGTTATTTGCCACAAGGTACAAAAATATTAGTATTAGTAACATTTTAAATTATATATCTTTCTATGAGTTTTAATCCACGTAATAAATATATCTTTTTTTTTATTTCAGATACTCTATCAATATGTCCACCTAAATGCATCGATAATTTTGAAATAGGGCGATATTTTTCTAAATTTGAAGGTACTCATTACGTACCAAATGAAAACCTGGCAAAAGAATATCCAAAGGATACTGCTGCTATTCATGATATACTTCCCAGTATCTCTCAGCAATGTGCATAATAAATTTTTATAATTTGCATAACATAAATATATTAAAATTATATAGAAATAATATTTTAGTTTTTCTGTACGAACATTTTGTATATTCTAATACATTGTAAGATTAAAAATACAATATTAACATCATATTATAAAAAGTAAAGTATATTGAGAATATATATAGAATTGTGTGTCGAAATTATACCAATAAATGCTCATAATCCATTACAACTATTCAAACTTTTTTATTAGTGAATTGGTTGAGTTTCCATATGAGTTTCTACAACATGGAGTAATTCAATTAAACATTCTCGTCATGTGCAACGTATTACATTATTCTATAATTCTGTGATCTTATGCTATATATCAAATTAAATTAATTATGCGTATTTTACGCATCTTGAAATTCATTCTGGCCGCTTAAATATAGTTAAATGAAACGTAAAGTATCGTTATTAACATCATTAATAGAGGTGTAATATATAAAGATAAAGAATATTTTGCTCAAATGTAAATAATTAATTATTGTTTACATTTATAAATATTAAAAATTTGTTTATAAATTATCAAACAACGCCGGTAGCGTCGCGACGCCAAGTACGTAAAAATAAATAAAAAATAAAAAACAGAATCAAGCATTTTGTTTTTTAGAAGAATGTTTTATAGAGAGAAAAATTATTGTAATTATTTAGAAGGACTTTTTTCATTAAACATTTTTGTTGCATACGAGATAGAGTATTTTTTATGTACTTGACGTATTTTTTTTACTTTTGTAAAATTTTTTTTAAAGGGATTTCACACTTTTCTGTAAAATTTTATATCCTTTCTGCAAATATTTTTTGGGGAAAAATATTTGTAAATTATGTTTAGAAATAATTTTTTATTTTTGAATATTGTTACTTAATAATAGACGGATATTGGAGACGAATCTTATTATTAATATTCATTTATTTA